GTGCTTCAAAATGGTTTCCTTGAGGACCTGCTCCATGATTTTTATCTAACAACTTAGGCTGGTCTAACTTATCACAGACACCCCAAAATCTGGGAGTGGAGAGATAGAGCCTCCAACCCACTCTTAGCTTCAGGGCTGAGGTATTTAATGCCTTCAAAGTCCTTTGTTTCACTTTTCCCACTTGGATTCCCTGCCTCCAGCTTGGCATTACCAGCCTGTTGTTCAGTGTGTGGTGGGAATAAATCTTCAGAGGAACTGAGACCTGTATAGTTTGTTGATTATCAGTGACTGGACTATCTACAATCATTGTCTGCCTTCCTGCCAATGTGTAAAACCACCCAGTAGCAAACAGCATGACAGTAATCAGATAGACAGCAGTTCCCATAAGTCATTTTTAAAAATGCCGATACCTGCCACATTCTTCATAAGGGCCCTCACAGAGTTTTCCTCGGATTGTCCTTTTTAGGGGGGCAAGGCTTTCCCCCCTTAAATGACCCCAGGGTTCACCCCCCAAATCCAGTGGGATCCCTTCAGATCCCTGTGAATTTGCTGAAGGCAAAGGCAACTTGTGAGAGGCAGACTGCATGGCCCTATTTTCCCTTTCCAGCTTAGTGGCAGTGCAGTGCAATGGAGCTGGATGCCTCAGACTCTCCTGCCCCTTGCTGCCCTAGGGGTTCTATGGCTTGGAGCCACAGGGACCAGGGGACAACAGAAAAGTTAAGACACTTTTCAAGAGATTCGCCACATAGCTTACAGTGTCTGTTTGCCAGCAGATGTGTCCAGCCCTTGTCAGAGACAGAGCTGCATACACACTGCTGGTCTGAGCACAGGATTTAGGCACTCTTGAATTCTCATCTCTCCTCTAGCCCTGACTCACTCTTTAGCCTTGGGGTATTAGTTGCAAACTATGTGGAACGAGTAGGCTTTGAGCAGCCTAACAGGTAATTTAAGATTCATTGCCTCAGTTTCCCCAACTGTAAAGTGGGGGTGAATACCACTCAGGCTTGTTCTGAGTATTAGTGTTTGTAAACCACTGTGCATCTGCCAGGTATTATGAAAGAGTGTATTATTAATGGAAACATGCGTGCATTGCAGCTTCAGGTTAATTTTAATGCAGAATACTATGGAGAGGTCACTCTAGTTTAGTAGAGTAAGCTAGGGTTACCATATGTCCGGATTTTCCCGGACATGTCCGGCTTTTGGGGGCTCAAATCCCCGTCCGGGGGGAAATCCCCAAAAGCCGGGCATGTCCGGGAAAATCGGGAGGCTCGGCCGGGGCCTCTTTGTGCGGGACCGGGGTCGCGGGGCCGGGGGCATGGTGCCGGGCCGGGAGCCGGGCC